GTCAGGAATGACCCAGTGTTCATAGACCCGGGGAGAGGTTCACTTGGTTGGAACATGGGAAATCGTGGGGAAGGAACACTCAGAGGCCCCAGGAAGAGGGAAGGAGGAGGCCAGGGGGTCTGAGCTACACCACACAGCCCCTCGAGGGGACAAGGCGCCCAGAATCTTTGTCAGCAGAGGATTGGGTGGTGACCAAGACAGTCTTGGGAGGAGGGAGAACACACTGGGTCACTCCAAGGTATGGGTGCCACCTGCCTTGGATGAGGGGCCAGGCAGGGGGATGCTCCAGCCCCTGGGGGGTGACTGCCCACCCGCCCTGCCCCAGAACACAGCTGCAGCCCTGCATCCGTCATGCCCGGCAGGTTCCTGTGCCAGACTGGCCCCCGGGGGACAGGCCCCAGGTGCTGGTCCAGCGGGTTTTAGTCCGAGCCTCAGTCACCGTGGTATGTCTTCGGCGGCGGGACCCAGCTCACCGTCCTAGGTAAGTGGCTCTCAGCACCTTTTCCAACCCATCCCACCGCTCTGCTGTCTTGGGCAAGTCCCTCCTCTCTCTGGGGGCTGCTTCCTTCTGCCCTCCCAGCCTTACAGACCGACCCCCACTTTCTCCGTGGGCTCTGGGGAAGGCAGGTTGGTCTAGGGTTAACCAGCAGGGAGGATCTCAATAGCAGAACCCCAATAGCCCCCCAGAGTCTGGGGATGGGCCTAGGAAAGGGGATCCTTCCTCTCCTCCAGGGCAGATGTCCTCAGGGGGGCCAAGGCTGGTTCTGGCCAGGGTCAGTGGGGCAGCCTTAGCGACAGTCCCAGTCCCGAGGGTCTGCGCTAAGGGCTCGATGCCCTCCGGCCTGGGAAAGCTGCACAGGAGGCTGGGGCAAGGCTGGGACTGGGACCCGGCCTTCGGAGGCACCAAGGGCAGCCGGAGGGGAAGCCGTGGAGGGCGGAGAGGAGGGTTGGGCTCGCTCCAAAGCACTCAGAGCCTCTGTTGGGCCGCAAGGATGGGGGGTCACGGAGACACAGGTGAGATGGGGCGAGCTGACCCCTAAGGAGCCCGACCCTCTCAGGATGGAGGTCAGAAAGGAGTGGGTCCCATGGGGCACAGACTCATTGACCCTGGAGCCCCATAATTCCTGGGACCCATCAGCCCAAGGGTGTTAGGGTCAGGGCTGATGTGTCAGTCTGGGGTGGTCAGAGGTGCCGAGGGGGCTGCGGGCCTCTGTGCTCCTTGTCGGGGGCATCAGTGCCATGAACGCAGCGAGATGAAAGGTCCTGGTGTCCGGGAACCAGGCACAGGGACACAGGCAGAGCCAGAAGGAGCCCCCAGGCTTTGGCTGCAAGGACTCGGCCCTCACTGGAGAGCCAGGTGCCCCGGGGAGACAGGGGTCCCGGCCCCACTGTGTCCTGGCTCAGGCTGGGCCTCTCCACACGCTGTTGGGGTCGTCCTGGCCGGCTGGGTGCAGAGGAGGCCGGGGCTCCAGAAGCGTGAGTGAAGGGGGCCTGAGGCTGGGCTGAGGGCCCGGGAGGTCGGGGCAGAATGCACACTCAGACTCAGGAGAGTAGGAGGAGGGAGCAGAGCTTGGCCCGATAACACTTGGGGAAACTGAGGCTACTGATGGAGGAGCTTGTCCAGGTCACATGGGAGAGATGACTTGGAAGAGCTTCTGGGAGGGTGGGGCTGACTGCTGTGCAGGGACACAGTAGAAAGAGGGGACAGAGAAGGAAAGAAGGTCCCCAAGGGAACAAACACATGGGCCCAGTCACAGAGGCCATCTGTGGGGTGGGGGAGATCCCTACGTGTGGGCCCTGCTTCTGCCTCTTACACCCACTTCTCTGTCCACACAGGTCAGCCCAAGTCTGCACCCTCCGTGTCTCTGTTCCCACCATCCGCTGAGGAGCTCGCCAACAACAAGGCCACACTGGTGTGTCTCATGAGTGACTTCTACCCGGGCAGCGTGACGGTGGCCTGGAAGGCAAATGGCAGCCCCGTCACCCAGGGCGTGGAGACCACCAAGCCCTCCAAGCAGAGCAACAACAAGTACGCGGCCAGCAGCTACCTGAGCGTGTCCAGCCAAGCCTGGAAGTCCGCCAGCGCCTACAGCTGCCAGGTCACGCACGACGGGAAGACCGTGGAGAAGACAGTGGCCCCCTCGGAGTGTTCCTAGGACCTGAGTCCCCACTTCTGGGGACACTTCTCAGTCAGAAGCTCCCTTCCTCGCTCCCCACTGTCCCCCTGCGGCTCCTGCCCTGGTCGCTCAGACTGGGCAGGTCACCATCCCTCCCCGTTCCCCCTTCTCCTGAATAAACTCCTGTCATTTCTCATCTGACATTTCGCATGTGTGTTCTGTGTGGGGGAGGGTCTCAAGGTGAAATAAAGGCGGGATGGTTATGACATGTGGTTCCATCTACCCATCGTTCGCTCAACCCACCAACCAGGCACCTGAATCAGATCTGAGTGACCATGGAATGTGGTTCCCAGGGTCAAAACTTCTCCTCTAGGACCAGCCCCTGGGATGCAGTCCTTGTCACCTGGAAAGGGACAAGGGCTGAGTGAGAGGCATCCAGGGGCCCTGAGGAGGAATCAGGGAGAAATGGTGAGGGTCCCAGGAGGGCACGGTGGGCTACAGAAGGAAATATTGGGAAGGAAATCATGGAGCCAAGGCTGAGGTCATTGGGAACAGACACTGAACTGCCCTGTCCGTCATGGAGCCCAATGGGAGAGCCATTGCCAGGTGAGGGGCTCATGGTTGGCCCATCAGCTCGGAGTCAGGGAAAGCTTGGAGCAGTGCCTCCCATGGGGCGTTGGTCAAACTCTGCCAATGCACGTGAGCTAAGGAAAGACACTGACTAGTCCCACAGAGAGAAGCAATTTAATATCATGGAGCCTGACAATTCCCCCATCAAGTTCACACCCCTTACCCAACTCAGGGAGCCTGGAACACCCTTCAAGGCATGGCTACTGGTGCTGGGAAAATGGGATGAGGATGAGGCACAAGGAAGCTCAGTTTAAATTCTAATGGGCCTGAGTCAAGGTCAGGCTCAAGGTGACCCTAGCAGGGGGCATGGAACTCCATTATCATGAGTCTCAACACCTGAAGTCAGATGAGGGTGAGATTGTTTATGGCTGGTTAAAGGATGGAGCAGGTGTTGTCAGACTGCACAAGGAAGGTGTGAGGGGCATGGGAGTTGACCTTGATGGAATAGAAAGGGCACAGTCCTGGGCACCAACTGGGCATCCTGTGATGTCCCAGGAAGGGCATATCAACTGGAATTCAGGAGCCAAGTAAGAGCAGGTCAGACCAGCTCAGAGCAGGCAGAGTGTGGCCTGTGGGGTACAGCAAAGTTACCACTCCCCACCACCCCCCGCTCCTGGGCCCCTTGCCCCTCCCTCCCAGTGTCTCAGCCCTGAGTGCAGCTGGTGTCAGAGACACACTCACTCCAGGTCGCTGAGACGGGGAGACTGACTAATTTGTCAATTTTTTACGTACGTGTTAGGAAACCTACTTTATGATATAATGGAATTTCAGCTTTATATGGACACCCCTGCGCAGAATTAATCCATTATATCCAGCTTTTAGTGTATTCACTTGGGTGTATCTTAGGTGTTGTTTACATATGAGAACAGAATAAGGTCCCGCATGGTGATGTTGGGTCTGTAAGTATCCCCCAAATCTCTCCAGCTTTTCCATGCCAGCAAGTGGCTGAGGGGCTGAGCTGCTGGCCTTGGGGCTCTCCCATAGTCGGGATGCGGTCCCAGCCTCCACGAGCTGCATCTGGGTGGGTCTCTCCTCCTCATGTTCCTGCAAAATGGTTTTGGCATCAGAAGCTTCACGAGGTCCAGGTTGGACGTTAGCAAAACTGCCTCCCAGGATGGTTCACACTTTGCACCAAAGGACCCCTATGGAATAGACCTCCTTTGAGGACATCCAATGCCTGGATGTCCAATGACGTGGTCCATCAGATAGGAAGGAATGCATCATGGGATATTCCAGATTTGCCGCCCTCCTCCTGTGGTGCCCCACGTGTGCATGAAAGGGGTGCCTCCAGCAGATCTGTCTCCCCCAGGATGTGTGGGTCACGGGCTACCACAGATGAGGGAATGGGGACGTTTCCCTCTGGTCCTCCAGTTTGCAGGATGGTGGTCTGGTCCCCGCCGTCCTCCCACGGTAACAATGGCCACTGAGTGGCTTGGGAAACTCCAGCAGGTGAATGCATCTGCCGTGTGAAAGCACCACGGGTTCCTCTAGTGATGACAACAACGTGTCTGCGAATGATGGCCATTTGTCCATATGCGGCTCTTCGATCCCTTGAGTATGGTCTTCCTAAGCCTTAGGAGTACCCTACTTAAGTTAATAACCATGTACCTACCTACATAGTTTCAGTTTTAAAAATGTGGCTCTCAAAAGAAATTTCAATCGTTGTACTGTTGATATTTGGCTCTGTTGACTAATGAGTTTGCCAACCACTGCCCTAGGCCATGGCACCTCACTCAGTGCAATAGACGCCCTCCAAACTCATACCAGTCCCAGGAGACCACAGTAGAAACAGCTTATCAGGCACCAAGTCCCTTTGGAGCAGTAGTTCTCAACCTTCTGGCCCTTTAAACACAATTCCTCATGTTGTGACCCAACCATAAAATTATTTTCTTTGCTACTTCATAATATTGCTACTGTTATGAATCGTAATGTAAATATCTGATATGCAGGATGGTCTCAGGCGACCCCTGTGAAAGGGTCGTTCGACCGCCAAAGGGGTCTCGACCCACAGGCTGAGAACAGCTGCTTTGGAAGAATGGCTTCCAACAGCCCTGATGCTGAACAAATCGCTGTGTCATCCATCCACCCTACAATCTGCTGAGAGGGTGGAGGGGGGACAGTGTGCGCCCCTGGCAGAGCAGACAGCAGCCGGGGGCAGTGGCCCAGCTTCCTCCAGCACAGCTGCAGGTGGGGGCACAGGGGTGGGGCAGGGCCTCCCAGAGAGAGGTTTTTGTACGAGCCTGTGTCACAGTGTTTTGTGTTCGGCGGAGGGACCCAGCTGACCGTCCTAGGTGAGTCTCTCCTTCCCCCTCCTTTGCTGCTCTCCCAGAGGATTGGGCCATTTTCTGTGAGTTCTGCTCTCTCTGGGTCCTGTCTCAGCCTGTGGCCAAGCTTTCACCCTGGATCCCGGCCCTTGGGAACCTGAGCTCTATGGGTCCCTGGTCTTACTGTCCTATTTGGTCACCCTCAGCCGTTCATCTCTGCCCCCAGAGACAGAGAAATGGATGGGATGCCCTGTGTGTGTGGCTTCTTCTGTCTCTCTGAGGGTCATGCTGGATTCTAGAAGGGCTCTGATCTGTCTTCCTCTGTTAAGTTCCTGTGGGACAAGGTTATTTCAGGGGGTCATTGGTGGCCCCCGTCTAATGAAAGAGAGGATAAGGAGCACTGAGGGGGTAACCTTGTGAAAATTTTAGGGTGACCCAGGACCCTCTGGGCCAAGGCTAGACACACCCAGGTCAGAGGTTCAGGGCAGGTCTCAGGGACTGTGGACTCATGAACAGGGGCCCGGAATGGTGCTGGGGTGCAGGGCCTCCAGGGGCCTGCATGGAGCTGGCATGCGGAGTCCTGACCAGCCTGGCACCAGGGAAGCCTGCAGGAGGAAGGACAAAGGAGGCGGGAGAAGGTGCTGGAGGAAGGGCCATGGAAGGACAGGTGTGAGGACAAGGGGGCCTTTGGTCTCTGCTGGAGGAACATCCTTTCAGAAGGAATGGCAGAATCCATGGCATGAAAGCTCTAGTGATCCGACCAATTCGTGGGGATGCATAGACTGTAGAATGAGAGAGACTCAACGACAGACAGACAGGTTTCTGTTTCATCAGAAACAGCTG